TGTGATAATTGCTACAATATGCATACATACACATAATCCAAGTTGTTGTCCAAGAGGGCATGATCCAAAATCCATTGAAAGTAGTGATTTTTTTTCCACTGTCTTTAAGGCACTTTGGATGGGATCTTGAAGTTCATATTTTAATGGGCAATCAAATAGTTTTTTGTTTAAAACCAGGGAAACAACTAGCACAGGAACACAATAATACTTTTAATGGCATCAAAAGGACACCAGATGGGCAGTTTTCAATCATAGTTAAATCATTGTCCTCAAGTAAAGACTGCACTGTTTATAAGGTAAAAAGTCTTAAGATGAAACATATCAATAAGCTGAAAAAATGCATGACTCATCCCTAGCTTTTCTCCTCTCATCATTATTGCACAAAAGCTCCTACAAATTGGTTTCAGTGTTTTTCTCCTGATCATTGACCCCACCTGGGGTACTGGGTCCAGCTGTGGAGCACTCAGCAAAACAAAAAACATTGACCTGTTGAAGCAGGTCCAGAGGGCCACAAAAATGATCAGAAGTGTGGAACACCTCTCCCATAAGGAAAAGCTGAGAGAGTTGGGGTTGTTCAGGCTGGAGAAGGCTCTGGGGAGACCTTATTGTGGCCTTTCAATAACTGAAGTGTGTCCATCAGAAAGATGGAGACAAACTTTTCAGCAGAGTCTGTAGTGATAGGACAAAGGGTAAGGGCTTTAAACTAAAAGAAGGGAGAAATTCTTTACTGTGAGGGTGGTGAGGAACTGCCACTGGATGCCCAATGAAGCTGTGGATGCCCCAACCCTAGAAGTGTACAAAGTCAGTTTGGGTGAGTCGGGTTGGGTGGGACTCTGACCTGATCTAGTGGGAGGTGTCCCTGTTCACTGCAGGGGGGTTCAACTAGATGTTCTTTAAAGGTCCTTTCCAACCTGAACCGTTCTATGATTCTGTGACCCTATAATACTTGATCCCTTTGTCACTGCTAAATCATCACCTTAAGCCAAATATTTACTAGACCTGTACTGCTAAAACAGGGCTGCAATTCAATTTGCTAAACTCATACAGGTACACATGGAGTTTCAGGTACATCTCAGTCCTGGCCAGAGCCTTTCTGCACTTTTGATATTTCCATCGTGTAACTGACACCTGAACCAAAGATGTGTGCAGCCTTCAGCTTTCCAGGAGCAAAGCTTTCCTCTGTGACCCTTGTGTAGATCTACAGAAATAAGTTATGCCAAGGATATTATGTAAGGTGTGAGAAAAAAAGAACTGTCACAACTCTGTCCTCTTGCCATTACAGTGTATTTAGTAAGACCACTACCCCAAATGCCCCAGTACACAGGTGAGCTGAAAACTGCATTGAATCTTGCTGAGTCATAACATACTCAGGCTGGTGTGAAGCTCTCTAGGTCTCATAGCATGTGATAACTTACAGGTTTAATCAAGTTTTGAATAGTGATGATGACCGTTTCTTCCTTCTAAAAGAAAGGACAGAAAAAGGTGAGAAAAGGAAGGCAAAAGCCATTGGGGAAATGAGATTGTAAGTAAAAGCAAATCCATGCAACTATTTTACTGAATTTTCATTTTATTATTGGAAGATCAAATTACTTTCTATAGCCCCCCTTTAAAAAAATATTGGCTTCTAGAAATATAATTGATTTTTTTTTTAATCTTGTAGTTAGAACAGATTTCCATATTTTTGAAACCACAGTAGAAGTTGTTGCCTCCTTGCCATAGCCTTGTTATGTCTTTTTATGAATTTTCTCCTACTACCATGTCATCTTATATGTGGTTACATTGAAATTACTGGGGGGAAAAGTCAACCCATCTAAAATGAAACCATTTAAATGGTATGAAGCAACCATTAAGGATACCAATAGCTATCTCCTGTTCACCAAAACAATGGCTGAAGAAAAGGGGAAACTAAACTCTGTTAAGCATAAAGGATTTGTTGGGATTGTCTGCTAAGACTTGGCCGTAAAAACAATGACTTATCATGACTGTTTTCATGTGCTACTTGCTTTGTAGCATGTTTGTAAAACCATGTGCTAGTAGTATAGCCGCTTTTGCAAGTTCAGAATAAAGACTATTCCTTACTTCTTTGCACAAACACTGACCAGTGAACACTTCCAGTTACAGGTTATGTCCATCAGTAATCCCATCTTTGTTGTTTCACAGGTTATAGATCTTGGGCCAGAATTTGGGTCCTGATGATCATAACTCTTAAGTATTAATGAATGACTGAAGAAGAAAATAAGCCTGTAACAGAAATCTACATACAATGATTCCAAAATTTACCAGCAGTTTTGAGGACTTAATTATATGGTGAAAAATGCCCTGTGAACACCATCCCCCATGAAGGCTGTGTAGGACATAAGGAGGACATTACTTTGCTTCCCTGATTATGCTGCATTCTGCGTTTTTCTGACAGTCTTACAATCCTTCCTGCCACTGCCCACAAGTATATGTCTTTGCTGCCCAGTTTTACTCAGCATCTGACCTGTGCACAACTCACTGAATACGTGCTGACGTGTATTTTTACCAGATTAACAACATCCAGGATCCCACTGGATCTGAGCTCCTAGCAGTGAGTAGCAGTTCCCAGCAGTATTATCTGGATCCCCTTCATGAATCCTAGCTCCACAAGGTGGCTCTCAATTCCTGTAAAAATACCACTGCATTTGTAGATTAAATGCATGCAAGAATGATGTTGAGAACAGACACACGAGAGTATAGTGTAGCCTAGGATCCCCTTCAGTGTGCTGTGTGTTTTTCTTTCAGTAAAGCTAGAACGTAGACAAAGTCTGACACCATTAAAGTACGACAATTTGAAGGAATGTTTCATGTTAGCTGCTCAATCAAATCTGAAAAAGGATAAAATAAAGGCAGCATGCACACCTGGAATGAGAAACGAGACATTGAAACACCCACTGCCTGCTCTATTCCTTTAGGGCTGCTAAAATCCCTTTCTCTCCTAGAAGTGTTCTTCCCGTGTTCTGTAGCTCTGTAGGATCAGGTTAACACAGTCACCAGGCACTGGGGGGGTGTGCAACTTCTGCTAATATGGACAAAGTAGTTTGCTGCTTCTCAGGAAAGAGATCCTGCCTTTGAAGGCCAGGATGCACAATTGTTTACTTGACTCCAGCAGGACTTCAGCATTCCCAGGCAGACCTCCCAAATCACTTCACTGCTGACCACCTTAGCATGGCTGCAGATCACACCAGGAGGTTGAACCTAGGGAGTTATACCTCAGAGAGCAGCTCGTCTGAATGTGAGGTCCTCCCCTGTAGTCATTCTCTCCAAACACTCTGGTTAGATGATTGCAGATAATCACCAGCTCACCATAACATGGAGAATGGAGAGTCAGTCCCATGTGAAACTGGAAGTGAGAGTGTGGCACCATGATGTACCTCTGAAATGGGCTGGGCTGCAGCATATGTGCAAAGCAAAAGCTGATGGTACAAGCCTCAGACTTGGTGTGAAAGACTGGATAAGTCTGCCCTCCTTCCTGGGAGCAGTATTGCTGCTTTTGGTAGTCAAAAATTCGACCGCATGCTTCTCACCTTCTAAGAACAGCTTAGGAAAACCTGTGTAAACTGTGGGGGAAAAAAAAGTTACCTGCTTTCTGTTGATGTTGATGTTTGAGGCAATATTTTCAGGTTTTCTAGAGCTACAAATGTATTTTAAAAATAAGGTTTGAGAGCTGAAGCTGTATAATACACTACCTATTGCAAGGCGATGCTGGGTGTGTCTAAGCTGTAACGTTAAATTCATTCTTCTTGTCGCTTCCTTCAAAGCTCCACTGAGCTCAGCCCCTCCCTGGTTATCCTCCCTCCCCTGCCAAGCTTGCTGCAACCCCTACGTTCTGAGGCTGCTCCCACCTTTGTCCCTTCTCGTGACGGCTTCTTGCACAGCTGTCTCTCCATGCCTTTGCCTCCACCACACTTCTGCTCTGCACAGCTTTTCCCCTTGACCCTTTCTGTGTTGTGGTCTCTTCTGAAAAGATCAGAGAATGAAGCCATTTGCTTCTTGTTTTCCTAATTTCCCTTTTGCTTTCTGTCTGTCTTTAAGCACAGGCTCTTCTGTGGAGAGATGGTGCAAAAATCAAATTGCGGGTACTAATAACTGTGTGTATGCTTTATAAACTTGAATCTGGTAGATCTGCCCTGTGTTGATCTGCACAATCTTTAGCGCAGTTGAGGTTGCCTTTCTGCTCTAAGTCTTTGTAGTAGGTGTCTGACAATGGGTAAATACTCTGGGGAGAATCTCTGCTATAGAAGTTTGTATCCTGGAGCCAGCACAAGTTCACGAGCAATATCCCCAAGGATAGGCCAAGGGACATGACTTTCAGTCCAACATGTAGTTTTTACGTTTTCAGCTGCAGAAGGTCTGCAGTTAAGAGCCAGAAATGTGGTATCAGCAATGGAACCCAGTTCATTAAAAATTCAAATCAATGGAAACAACAGGACGTATTATTTATCTAAGCCTTGAATCAATCTGACTACTATGCATAATGATCTTAATTAGAAAAGTGAGCCGAAGCAGGAAGACAGTCTGTCTCCTGGCTTTGAAATTATCATACCCCTATCAGTATGCTTGGGTAACCTGTAATTAGGGACAAAGGTTACTCATCATTTTATATGCTGAAAAACCGGTTTTATACATGTCATTTCAAAAAATATTTAAGAAAGAGGTATAAGGCTTGCTACCCCTATTGTGCTTAGATTTTTTGGTACTAGATTACTTGTCTGCACCAATTAGTTGATGATTTTAAGAAATACCTAGAGAAGTTCTGCACTTACACAGATGCTGGGTACTAACAAGTTACTAGTAATATCAGTATTAGTCTTTGTACAAATTCCCTTTCAAAGTCTGGTAGCTCTTCAGATCTCTGTTCCACTTGCATGAAACGCGCAGCTCAGAAAGCAGCGTGGGTTGCCCAAATGCAGGGAGTAAATGCTTGTCAGTTCAAAAACTTTACTGGCACGTTACCCCAGTATTCCCATGATTGCACCAATATGGTACAAGTCCCTGTGCAGTCACCCACCCTCTTTTCTTCTTGTCATGCTTATCTGCAACTGCTGCCATCGAGCATGGTATGTTCTGCTCTTGACAAGTTGGCAGAGTCCTGTGATTACTCTTTCTTCAACATTTTTTTGACCAACGCTTAATTAGAGAACAGGAGTCCTAATTCTGAGGTCGTGCCTCATCAAAGCAGTCACTTCCACGCTTGATGTAAACAAGTTCTTCCATCTAGTCAAACCCACTGCGTGCTCACGGCGTCAGGCCAGGCGGGAGCACCACGCTCTGGGGGAGCAGTGCCTGGTCTGCTGCACCGAACACAGCTCTCCCCGCTCTGCCACAGGTACAGCTGCCCCGATTCTTTCTCAAGGTAGCATTTAATCTTACAAATCCAATACAAAAAGATCAAACTCTTTCCGTCGCACGAAATTCCCTTGCTTTCCCAGAACTGTATTTCCACAAACATAAAAAAAAAAATAAAAATATGGAAATTGGAATCACAAGCAGGATCTGTTGCATCAAAGTCTTAGCTCCATTTCTGTGAGGTTGACAATCGCCTTTTTAACATGTCAGGAATTACATGCATAATTCTCTTTAATGGATGTTACAAATGTTCATCCCACACTGAAAAAAGATCACAGTTGGTATGAGTAATAACTTTTTTTCTTGAACATCAACAGTTCCCCTCTAGCTCTGTACGTATCCTCCAACATCAATGTAACCACAGCTGTCAGGGCAGCCTCACCTCTCCCTGTGCATATTTTAGCTTTAATTTTTTCCCAAGCTTTCACTTAGTGGACCTTTTTTTTTTTTTTAAGGGCCCTAAACCTGTTCCCCAATTTTGTGGGCAAATTCATTGCAACAACAGATCCCAGTGTTTAGACACACTGAAAACATTATCCTTATTAGCGTGCCAGAAATTAAAAGAGACCTACATCTAGATCTGGAGGTTTGGGGTTTTGTTTTGTTTTAATGGAAAGGGGAATTTTAAATCCTCGTTTCCCCTTGTTCAAGGATCTCTCACCACTTTTACATAGTGAAATAGAGTTTTTGTGGCCTCCTTTTGTACAGGCAGGAGCTTCCAACAGCCCGACATGCCATGGGTGCCCCGCCAGGGCAGCACAGGGGGCAGGGCTGGGGCTGGGGGGG